TTTAAAAAAAATATATCTTAGCTTGGTTCAGAGGTGCATCCTGTCATCCTAGACCTGGGAGTCCACGGCAAACTAATCTTTCTGTGATTGTGGTCAGTTTGGTCCACAGAGTGAGTTCTCTTCTTTGTTCATTTGTTTGTTTGTTTGTTTGTTTTTAGACAGAATTTTCTTGTGTAGCCTTGGCTGCCCTATACTCACTTTGTAGACCTGGCTGGCCTCAAATTCAGGCCTCTTTCTCCCCGAGTGCTGGGATTACAGGTGTGTGCCACCATTCCCAGCTCCAAAGACTGAGTTCTAAAATAGGTGTGGCTATGTAGAAATATGTATTTAAATGATCCCAAAAATGTACACTATTTCTCAAATTATAGGTTTTGTTCCTGGGTCTGGTCCTCAGAGCCTAGCCTTCAGCCCAGCTGTGCCCCAAAAGTCCACTGTCAAGTGCTGGCCCTGTTGTTCTTTCTCTCTGGGGCTTGATCTATCCCAGTAGACCCCCTGGGCACCAAATACACACGTGTCAGCAACTTCTATAGATGGATGCACAAGCCCAACTCGCAGGAAACTCTTGACAAAAACAGGCTCCCCTCCGCATGGGCTCACCTAGCCAGGACCACAACAACCTCGCCTGTGGGTCGCTCCACAGGGATGCTCCACCCACTGTGGGCAGATGGGGAGGCCTCATCTCGGAATACATCAGTTACAATGAGTTAGCAATACCTTTTTAATAATAATGTGAAACCAACAACAATAACCCAACAGTGAAAAACAGCAATTAAAAAATAAACAAAATGAAGGGAATCTTTTCTCTAAGGGGAGCAGGAGCTGGGTGCAACTCAGCTGGCGATTGTACCGACTATATGTCCACCTTGGGCGGCGAGGACGCTGGCTCAGATACCCCCAAGTGCACCACAGTGGAGAGAAAGAGCAGCTCATCAGCCAAGTCCAGGAGGGACTCCCCGTCCTCTGATGCTAAAGCCGGAAGCTGCTGTGGTCCAGCTTCTGGCACGACTGGGGGTCCCGTAGCCACAGGTTCCAGGAACACAGCATCCTCTTGGGGCCTAACATCTGCCCCTGAAGCCGGTCTCCGTGTCTCCTGTGCCCCTGAGGACTCATGCATGGGCGGTTCTGCAGTCGAGGCCCCAAGGAGGCCAGGATCTGAGCACAGAAAGGGGTGAGCCATCAGCCAGGATGGGCGGGGGGAGAGGGACTGAAGGCACCCAGAATGGGGTGAGCTGGGCGAAGATGGCCTCTCTTGCCAGGGAAGGCACAGTCCCCTCTCCTTCCTGCAGGACGGTCAAGCTGACCAGCTTCCGGCTCTGCTCCCCTCCCCAGAGCTTCAGGACACTTCCCCTGTTGCCACCCAGGGCTGGAACCTAGCCGCTGGCTCACCGGGCGTCTCCCAGACCGGGCTCCTCACCCTCCTCCTCCTCCTTCTCCCCAGGCTTCAGTCTCTTGCCCTCCTGCTCCTCCAATGCCCGGAGGATCTCCCCGGCCTGGCAGTCCACCTCTGCGGTGGGCACATGGATCCTGGCATAGTCCAGCAGCCGCCTCACGACGGCCAGGTCTGGGGCCCCACAGAAATCCTGGGGGAATTTCTGCAGCCACTGGGACAGGAATGAGAAGATGGCGCTGCGGGCAAGAGCAGAGTAGAGGGATGCAGGGTCGGGCACCCAGCCTTGCTTCGGAGCTGCAGGGGGCATGGGTATCCCCCAGGACCCTTCCTCTCCTCTTCCTCCCTCTGCTGTTCAAAACCCAGGAGCCTGGCGGGAGACCTCTGTCCTCCACCAGCAGGCAAGGTCACGGGGACAGTCCCTAGGGAGAGAACACTATGGGCAAGGCTCCTGGCCATCATTTGGTCCTCCACCCTGGCCGCCCCAAAAATCCCTCCCAGCTCACCTCCCCCTCCACCCCAAGCCCACTCACGTTTTTGTCTGCTGGTTTTCTGCATCGTCAGGCCTGAAGGTTCCATACCTGTGCCAGGTCACGGGGGTGTCACCCCTAAGGCCCCATGTCCCCAACCCACCCAGTCATCTAGAGGGAGCTATTCCAATCTTTCCAGGGAGGGGGTTGTGGGTACTGGGACCTCCGTTCATCCCATACACCCCAGATGGGGTCCAGAATCATTTACACAAACTAGGAAAGCCAGCTCAGGGCTTGAGAAAGGGTGGTGCGTGAAGCTCCCTGGGGAAGGTGAATGGCACCCGTTAGAGCTCCTCCCCCGCCCCAATCGCCCATGTTTGGCCATGTCACTTTAAAGGGCCAGGCCCTGGAGCCAGGCTGCTGGTTCTGTGAGGGCACAGGTCTTGGGAAACAGCAGGAGGCCTGAGGGCAGGATCCCAGGTGGAAGAGCTCGCCTGCCTTTTCAGAATCAGGTCCAGAACCTCCCAGGTGGTCGCAAACTTTGGATAAAGGGCCAGAAAGAGGCAGAGGGATACCCTATCATCCCTCTGCACAGCGGTGGGCAAATAGCAAATCATCTGTTCCACATAGTCGGCGCCATTGTTGCTGAGCATGGGGATGCCATGCAGGAAGGCTCGCTCCCTTTCGCTCTGGGAAAGGACAGAAGGGTGGAAGAGAGGCTTTAAGTGTTCAAACCCCTAGAGACACCAACAACCCCTTTCCATACACTGAAGCAAGAAGCAGTTCTAGGGTTCCTCAGTGTCCCGACAGGAACACTCCCCCAGGCGGGGACAGAGGTAGATAAGGGGACGAGAAAACTTTCCTGCCACTGGCCAGTCAAGGTTACCTTGGCCTCCCAGTGGGAAACATGCCAGAAGCGTGTCAAGGAGCGTACCACATGTCTCCAGCAGTGACTCAGGCGACCACCTCTGGCTTCTTCAAAGCTTGAGCCACTGGAGATCGGGAAGCATGAGAACAGACTCATCTCTCCAGCTCCTCCAGACTGCCTGGTCTTTCCAGGCCGCTGTTGCTGCTGCCAGCCTCCAGTTACCTGGCAACTGGGGTTCCAAGTTCTATCTGGAAGCCTGCTGAGTAAGCAGGATCACTTCCTGGAGTCACCCAGCCTGAGCCTCCCCATCATGGGCTCTCCCTGAGGGCAACCAGTCCTGCAGGCTCCACTGATGAAACCATCAACAGTTCCAGAGAAAAATGATGGAAAAGTTGCCTTCCATCACCAGTAGAAGGCACGAAGACACAGGAGAAGGTGCATGCATAAAAAGAACAGCAGCAGCAGAGAGGGATGGCTATCAGGACTGCTCAGAGGTTAAAAGCTCCAGGCACTCTTCCAGAGGTCCAGAGTTCTATTCCCGCCACCAGTAGCAGCTCAGAGCCAGCGTCTTCTGCTGGTTTGCGATTAATTAGGAGACAGTGAAACAGGAGAATCCTGGTCGTGGTCCCAGTCCTGGTCTCTCCCATACTGGAGAGAAACCTTATGAATGCAACCAATGGGGTAAATAATTTGTTTTGTAGTACGCCTCTCCTAATACATGAAAGATCACACACTGGGAAGAATTCATATGAATGTAATCAGTGTGATAAAACCTTTGCATGTAACTGTCATCTCCTAATACGTAAAAAGAACACACACTGGAGAGAAACCTTATAAATGCAACAAGTGTGGTAAAACAATTTCGTGTAACAGTCATTTCCTAATGCATAAAAGAACCCATATTGGAAAGAAACCATATAAATGTAACCACTGTGGTAAAGCTTTTGCATGTCACAGTAGTTTCCAAAAACATAAAAGAACACACACTGGAGAGAAACCTTATGAATGTACGCAATGTGATAAAGTCTATGCATTTCAGAGTAGTCTCTGAAAACATAAAATAACACACAATGGAGAAAAACCTTATGAATGTAATCAGAGTAGTTTCACCTTTGTACAACACAGCCATCTCCTAATACATAAAAAATGCATAGTGGAGAAAAACTTTATTAATATAACCAATGTCATAAAGGCTTTCCATGTAACAGTCATCTCCTAAAACAAGAAAACATATTGGAGTGAAACCCCAATGAATGTAACCAAAGTGGCAAAGCCTTTGCATGGCATAATAATCTGCAAATACATAAAAGGACACACAATGGAGATAAATGTTATAAATGCAACCAATTTGAGAAAGCCTTTGAACATAACAGTCATCTCCTAAGACATAAAGAACACATACTGGAAAAAAACTTTATGAATATAACCAATGTGGTAAAACATTTGCTCATCAGAATCATCTTCAAAGTCATGAAAGAATTCATACTGCACAGAAAGGCTATGAGTGTACTTAACATTTGTATAATCATCATTATGAAAGAATTTGAACTAGAGAGAAAACTTATGGATGTGTTAAAATGTGAATCCTTTGCACATATCTATAGTCTTCATTGTCATAAAGGTTTCATACTGGAGAGAAATTCTGTGAATATAATCAATGTGGTAACGCCTCTGCTCTTCAGTCCACTCAATACAACTCAAACATTAGGTCAATGAAAATGACAAAAATTTATTGTCATCCAGGTACTATACTGGTTGATTAGGGCCACATAACAATCTTTGGAGCTGAACTGTGACACCTACATACCCACTGAGCCAGAAAGTTACAGAGGTTCTGAGCTTGAAAAATCATAAGCATCTGTGCTGTCTTACAACTAAATTTTTTTCCCATCAGTCATGGTTTAGGGATATGTGATGTCTTTATGTCATTGATGATGTCACCTGATGCAAAATGTAGGTTTTAAAGTCCAACCAATCATATCCATTTGTTCTTTTGTGGTTAGGAAGACATATTATGGAAGACATATTATGTTTTAGGGAAGAGGAATTGTAGTTGGGAACAGTCATTATGTTTAGGGGAAGAGAAGCCATGGTATGGAACCATCATGTTTTGGGGAACAAATGATGAATAACAAAAGCTGGTCAGCTATGGGGAAGTCTGTGTCTGCAGCTTTCCTAGGGACTATGAACTTAAAAACAGTTTTTGAAGAGTGTATACAACCAGATAAAGCCTTTGCATATCACAATAGACTTTGAGAACCTGAAAGAATTCATTCTGAAGGAAATCTGTTAGAATAAAAGATTTGTTAAGAGCTTTTACCAAACAACTTGCACTCAGTTACACAAGATTAATTGGCCAGGGGGATTTTAACAAGTGTCAACAATGTATTCATGCATTATGACATCCATCCTTATTTTGTTTTCAATTGAAAGCTCAAACGGACAAAAGGCCTATGAATTTATACATTAAGGTAACTCTTTTAGATTTCCCAATTCTCTCCAATTACATGAAATAAAGCATCCAATTGTAAAATTTATGTGTGTGTATTACTGCCTTTTCTGTGACAAACCACAATGTCTAAAGCAACTTCCAAAAGTGTTTACTTTGCCTTCTGGTTCCAGAGGGATATGGGATCACTATGAAATGGGCATCACAAGTGTCACACATGTCAGCTAAAGTAGAAAGTTTGGATATTACATCCTCAACCTACAGCAAGAAGCAGAGAGTGGGAACTACAAATGGTCTGCAGTTGAAAACTATCAAGCCCACCCCAAGTAACATACTTTCACCAGCAGGGCTGCATTTCTTAAACATTCCCAAGTGACACCACCAACTGAGAAGGAATCATTTCTCTGACTTCAAGCCTACATGTTTGATGTCTGTTACATGAAGGAATTCATGATGAAGAAAAACTCTGTAGATAAGCCTGTATGTGCCTCAACACCTGAGGTACAGGAATGAATGCTTACACAAGAAAAACATTCATAAGTAAACATATATTAGTTTAAGAATGAGTATTCATTTCCATTATGTGATAACAGTGTATCTTTGTGTGCCTGTGCATTCTGGTCTCCAGGAAGAACAGACCCTTTGATTTCCTTTAACCAGGGATTACAGGAAGTTGTCAAACACCTGACCTAGATCCTGGAAATGAACTTGTCTTAACTGCACAGCCATGTCTCTAGTACTGTAAATATAAATCCTTTATCTTGAAGTCTAGAAGTAGAAAAGAATTCATAGAAGAGAGCAACCCTATTTATGTAAAGATTTGTTGACTTTGGACATAATTGAGTATTCATTTTCAAGAAAAAAAACCTTTTTTTTGAAATTTTTTTATTTTTTTCTTATCAGTTACATTTTATTAACTCTGTATCCTAGCTGTGTCCCGATCCCTCATTCCCTCCCAGTCCCTCCCTCCCTCCCTCATATCCACCGTGCCCCTTTCCAAGTCCACTGATAGGGGAGACCTCCTCCCCATTCATCTGATCCTGTTTTATCAGGTATCTTCAGGACTGGCTGCAAAGCTCTCCTCTGTGGCCTAACAGGACTGCTCCTCCCTTGGGGGGTGGGGAGGCCAAAGAGCCAGTCATTGAGTTCCTGTTAGAAATAGTCCTTGATCCCCTCACTATGGGAAACCAATTGGTTACTGAGCTAGCACAGGCTACATCTGAGCAGAGGTTCTAGGTTCTATCCATACATGGACCTTGGTTGAATGTCAGTCTCAGAAAAGACCCTGTGCTCAGATATATTTGGTCCTTGTGGAGCTCCTATCCTTTCCCCATCAGACTAACTCCCCTTCTTTCTTATGATTCCCTGTACTCTGCCAAAGGTTTGGTCATGAGTCTTTGCTTTGAAAACACTGCTAGTTAGAGTCTTTCAAATGCGCTCAGTAGACTCCTGTCATACGATCAATGCACATCCCATCTGTCTTTCTAAACGAGGATTGATCATCTTACCCCATGTCCACTCTCTTGATTATCTTTTTTAGGAGTACAGATTTCATTATGTTTATCACATCTTATAGGTCTATATAAGTGAGTATATACCGTGTTTGTCTTTCTCCTTCTGGGATATTTCACTCAGGATGATCTTTTCTCTAATATCGAGTATATACAAAGAACTAAAGAAGCTGAAAAGCAACAAACCAAGTAACCCAATTAAAAAATGGGGAACAGAGCTAAACAGAGAATTCTCTGTAGAGGAATATAGAATGGCGGAGAAACACTTAAATAAATGCTCAAAGTCCTTAGTCATCAGGGAAATGCAAATCAAAACGACCCTGAGATATCACCTTACACCCATCAGAATGGCCAAGATAAAAACTCAAGGGACAACACATGCTGGAGAGGTTGTGGAGAAAGGGGAACCCTCCTTCACTGCTGGTGGGAATGTAAACTGGTTCAACCACTCTGGAAATCTATCTGGCGCTTTCTAAGACAATTAGGAATAGTGCTTCCTCAAGACCCAGCTATACCACTGCAAGGTATATACCCAAAGTTTGCTCAAGTACACAAAAGGGATATTTGCTCAACCATGTTTATAGCAGCTTTATTTGTAATAGCCAGAACCTGGAAACAACCCAGATGTCCATCAACGGAGGAATGGGTACAGAAATTGTGGTATTTTTACACAATGGAATACTACTCAGCAATCAAAAAGGAGGAAATCATGAAAAAAACCTTTTTAAATATTTTTTTTTTCATAGCCTTGTAAGAAGTAAATTATTTACCATGTTCACATGGTAATGTGAGGAGATCACCAGTTGTGGTTGTGGTTCGTGTTTTGAAACATTTGACTAGGTATTGAAGTTTGCTGTATGTGTAGCAAATCCATTCACATAAGTTTATTAGGTCATTCTGATATTCTTTCTGTGGAGTCTGTTGATCTTCTAATGCATTTCCACTTGGTGATAGGTATTTTTCTGGTGCAATGTATAGAATGGGATTCCCATCATCTATGTGGTCCATTGCTTATTAATATCAGGCAGTGTGTGAACATACTTTTCAAGGAAGGGTCTCTGAGAAAGCATGGTGCTTTGGATTTTCATGTTTTCACAAATTCCTTTGAAACTTTTGTTTTCAAGCCTTGCTTGGATGTCAGTAATTAGTAAAGACTACATTTGAAATCTTGATTCTCATGTGCCACCCTTCAGCGT